ATAAACGTATGTACATTAACAAATGTATATATCGGCATAGATGTATATAAACATACGCACAAATAATCCGTATACATACGAGACTTTACATACACACACATGCAGACATAGACTCAAGCAAACATACATACATGTGTATACATGTATGCATAATATCGGACATACTTGCAGCGGGGGAAAGTTTCGCTCTATTAACGCGTTATTTTCTGTTTAATCTGGCATCGTCACATTAAAATGTGACAAACCACAATGGAACATATTGTGTCCATAGGCAAAAGCAGGTTGAAAATTTACAGCATTATAAGGTAGAATGGTTGCTATAGCAGCCGACATTAATTGGGACCCAAGTCTCGAAGCCGCGCAAATGTTACCTTGGTGGGATTGAAGCAGAGTAGGAAGCAGGTAATATGAAGGAAATCAGTAGTGTGCGGGTGTATTCCAGTGCGTGACTTTTGCGCACACGTATCTGTTGCATAGGGTCATGAGGACTTCAGTTCGCTGGATTCCTTAAGAGGCCAAACGACGACGATAAAGAAATGGTGAACTGGAGTTTCCATATATGAGTGTGGATGCAGTTGTGAGTGTATCTGCGTGTGTGTTTGTGCGAATGACCGTAGGGGAAAAATCCGTCCTCGGACAGAAGCTATGCACTGTGGTCTGAGAGTGTGCCTGCTGTTTTAAGTAAAGCCTCACAGCCGCGGGGCCTCATGGTACTCTCGAAAGGCTGACCTTCGGCAGACTGAGTACGTGTGTGTGTGTGCGTGTGTGTGTTTGTTGAAAATCGCAGTCTAGGTTGTGCCTCTATGTACAATCATGAGCTTGTGAACGAGGACTCACAGGCAAGAATGTGATTATATGGGGCGCGGATGTGTAAACAAGTATGGTAGAATAGGAATGAATGAGTCAGTATTAGTTGGAGGGTGTGCCGGCACATGTCTGCCCCGGCAGAGGGTGTGAATATGTGTGCATGGGCGGCGGCTGTAAGGGTTAAACCTGACTGCAAAGTCTCGCTTCTCTGGCCTCGTCCGAGAGGAGGGTTGAGTGAAGAGTCAAGTCAATGCCGCCGGTGGAGAGAGCCGGTGGCGAGACGAGGAGGTCTGCGGCTCGGCCGACCAGCTGCTCACCGACTGACCCGGTGCGGGACTCGGTGTCAAGGCCGGCGCCCCCGGAACGGGCCTGCTCGACGGCCTGACGACACGAGATACCGCCGTACCGGCCCTTCCGTCGGGACTCGGACTCGGGCTCGAGGCTGAGTTGGAGTTCGAGCTCGGGCTCGAGCTGACCGCCGAGTTGTCCGCCTCGCAGAAAGGCAGTCGTGAAGCTTGACGTCCGGCCGGCGCGACGCAGATGGCCAGCTTGGTCCGCGTCCTCGAGGCCGGCTTCATCGCAGGTCGTGCGGCCGGAGAACGGAGTCTGGTTGTAGTAGGTCGGCTCGAGCCGGCCGAGCGCCGGGCCGGCCGGACTCGAGCCGAGTGTCAGTCGGGCGGGGAAGTGAAGACGATCCGGACAAGCGTTGTCGAGGCTGGCGCCGCAGTCGAGCGATGGTAAGGCTGAAGCGACCGGTCCCGCGGCGCCGGGGCCCAGGGGTCTGGGGCTCCGGGCCGTCTGTCGCGGGTAGCCAAGGCTCGGGTAACCGCCAAGCACCGGAAAGTGGAAGTCGGCCCCATCCGAACCGAGGCCAGTGGGCGGACTCGGAGCTGGGACCGTTGAGGCGGCCGCCTCTACGAGGCGTTGACGCAGGGCGGCCGCTTTACCGGCTCCAATGCCACTGTCGCTCGAGGTGTTCTGCGAACTGCCCGGTTCGCTGCTGCCCGGCGAGCAGTCGGGCCCGGGTCCGGATCCGGAGCCGGACTCGATCACCGAGGCCGGCTCCTTGAAGGTGACCCGGGGTCCGGAGCCGGCGATCGCGGACGAGTGGGTAACAGGCGAGGCGGCCCGATGCATGAAGGGCGGCATCGGGATTCTGGCCTTTATGTCGTCGACGGCCCCGTCACTGCAACCGGCCGACATGAGTTGTGCCATTCGAGAAGGAAAGGCGGGAGGAACTGAGATGGGGACAAGGCGAAAATACATTATTGTGGCATGAGTTTCCAGCTCGAAGTAAAGGTTACTTGGAAGATTAGAGAATTTATCGAAATTGACCAAACAGCCAAGGTCTTGAATAGGAGGAACGAATGTACAAAACTGAGTAGAAACTAAGTCGAAACTCTACTTATATACGAAAAATAAGTAGGAACTATTCGTGGTTTTTGGATAGGCTTAAGGAGCGGGAGAGAAAGGGAGTGCAGGAAAAGCCACTAAATAAGAGAAGGAGGCTGAATTAACCTCGAATCTAACTAGGACTATCTCACTTCCCATGCCATGAGCATTACATACGCACAATAGACAATAGTAAAGCCCAAACGTGATTCAACCTTAGAGGTTCGTAAGTTAGTTTATTTGTATTAGGAAACGAATCAAAGACCCGTTCTGTCCTACGGAACTCCAGGTTGTCAATGGAGCCTTTGTGAAGGAGCAACATCAACAGAGTGTATATGAAGAAAAGCTGGGTAAAGGTCTAAGGGCCCAAAAATATGAACTCGTGAAATATATGGCTAATACAGGATGCGCAATAAACGGATTCTAAACACTTTTTGCAGGTTACGGGGTCTTCACATCAAAGCGTAAAATGGATGTATTAATTATATTAGTAAACGATTATTATTATTACTTATTAATTTTTTATTTATTTGAATCTATTATTACCATGTAACTAAAATTTAAATTATTCAAAAATAATAATGATAATAAAGATTATTGTTAATGCTTATTATTATTATTATTATTTATTTATTACATATATTAGTATTATTAGCATTATCAACAATAACTATTATTTACTTATAAAAACTGGATTCCTAAGAATCCCTTAATAGATTAATGCCCTTTTGTTTGAAAGGGCAAGTGGAAGGAGTCTGTAAGTTGACTGTGAGTAAACACATCATGAGATGCCTCCTTAAGTGGGCCAAGTTAGTCCATACGAAGTAGGTAGGATTGCAACAGGCCACCTTTCTTGTCTTCGTGTATTGGTGAGTTATCGTAAAGCCTTCTGTCCTGCTCCGATAATACCTGGCACATGACGGACGAAGGCTCAGCAAGTATTCATCTGGGTTGAAAGGTGGCGCGACGAGGACCTATTTGCACAAATCTACAGTCACAGCTCCGAGGCAATCCCCCTACAGCTTTTGATGAGGCCAACCTACGCATTCCTTCCACTCGCCTATTCAAACAAAGTAAAAGGTACTCAAACAATAACTATTAATCGAAGATGGTGTGATACCCGGTATGGTCGCAGTCTCCTTTCTCCTTACCAAGTTCACTGTCTGATGCTGGGAATTCTGATAACTATTATGGTGGAGGATTTTGGACAAGGTGCTTTCTACTACGTCGCCCTGACAACAAGACCAAGTTTCGACAACGAGGTCAACCCACTTTAATAACCATTAGTGTTGATTTTACTTCGTTTTCGGAACTTAGTCAGAGCGATAGGGAGACTTTGTGGAACGTATCTAGTCCTGCGTCTTCTGCCATACTATTCCGATGGTTTTTTGGCATCGGAAAGCTGACATGGTATATTCCCAGACATTTTGCCAGCATCGTCAGTGAGAGGCGCCATCGTAAGCACAGAATTACAACGTATCGAAGTGACAAGTGATAAGTTGTAACTCAATGCTAAGGATGGCGCTTCTCACTGCCAATGCCGACTACGGTGCCGGCGAAACGTCTGGGAATGTACTAGGTCCACGGTTCGGCTCTGGAAATTATCATGCGTACTATGGACTTCGGACGAGGTGCGTTCCTCTAGGTCTTCCTGACAATATGACAAGGTGAAACAACTTCTATACAACGAATATAGACTGCGACCACACAAAAGGCCACACCATTTTGGTCTTCATACATTCGATTAAACTATATATATGAGCTGTATTCCTTCTATTTCGTTTGAGGTGCTAAAGGAATGATAGTTTAATTTTCCTATAATGATATCAAAAGACCTCATATTTCCACTCAATTGTGCACATCATTGCTTCCCAAAAGATATCATTATCCAGAGTGGGAATCAAGGATATGTGAAATTCAACGGGAGCATGAGGTCCACTCGATCATTCATCACCTTAAATGGAATATGATAAACACAGTTATGTTTTGTAAATGCTATTTTTTGGCTCTGGAGATAAGTGCTAGATGACAAGTGAAGACTCGCAACGAGTTCCTCGGGGTTGCAGCACGAGGCTTCGGAGACATTTTTGCATAAATCAGCAGTCACAACTTTGATTTCGGAACCCTTCCAACCAAGTCTTAGTAGGAAGTAAAGATTTTAATCACATTAATTTATTGAGAGATCCTTCACTGATTTGGATAATTATCTCTATACCGTTTTAATTTATCCGAATTACATAAAATTACTGAAATAGCCTGACATTTCGAGAAGATTAGCAAGACAGTCAAATAACAGAAAGTGGATATATCACTATAAACAGGAATAACATTCCAAATTTATTCTGGCACTACTTAAGACCGCAAACGGAATAATGGTCTGCTATTCGTCCTTAATTGTTGCATCTTTAGCACATTGTAAGGTACAGCGTGATGGCCAGCAAAACCCACTCAAATTAGCTGCTTGCCCTATCTTCCTATTCGGGCCTTCTCAGGGTCCCTTCTGAATCGGCCGGAGGCACATACTTTGGTAACTGAAGAGAGCCCACAAGGATATGAGTAGAGCTGACGTTTTCATTGAATTCTTCTACCAGTCCTTCATCACCTTAAACGAAATTGGGTGATACATCTCATATTACTGATTTACTTCTAGTCTCGAAACAATACTTTAATGCGAAAATAAAGTAGCATAGTCGATTGTTATAGCTAATATACGTTTGCTTCATCTACAATCCCACCAAAGAATATGATATGGCAAAAGGCCTGGCCTTTCTACAAATTCACGTTTGCCCTTGACCCAAAGACACTCGTGGCAATGTGGCCGAGTGGTTAACGTGTAAAGCTCACATGCTGCACTGTCACGGTTCGACTCTTGCTGGGGGTGTTGATGAGACTGATGCGAGGTCGAAACTACAGTCCACTCCAGCCTGGATGTGAACAACTTTTGGGAAAGCAAGGCTATGTCAAATTCATTGGAAACGTCAGCTCTACTCCTATCATTGTGGGAAATTTG